TCCACCACCATGCTTAACAAGTGTTTGTGTTGATATGCAATGCTTGGTTTGCTCCAAGTGCAGTCCTGTGTGTCTTGGCCAAAAGTCTCTGCTTTGGTCTCATCTGTCCAGCTGACAGTCCTGGGAAGATTGTAGCATTGCATTAACCTCAATGCTCCAGACCAGCAAACTGCCAAAACAGCTACAGAGGTGCCAATGATTAGTTACCAATGTTCATTTGATCAGCAGCACCGAGCTGTTACTTACCCTCTTAATTTCTATGGAAGCACTAATGATGTTTTTCACAGGACTGCATAGAGTCCTATGAAAACATTGTTTTCACATGACTGTATTTATCTGCAAAACATACAAAATAAACTTGCACCTGATTTACAGAGGGTGCAACAAATAATTCAGAAATTAGTAATTAATCCAGCACGTTACCTATATTTTGCAGAGGCCTGATGGTAGTTTGCCTGCATTAATATTTGCATGGGGGATTGAAGCGGTCCATTTACTGTAATACTATTTTTTTATAGCTAACTACATAAAACTACAAATGATTAGCGGCTGTAAAGGAAGAAAGTGAGTGTTGATTTTGTCATTCTCTGCTACAAGTGAGCAACATTTGACAATTCCCAACCCATTTTATTTCATCTTGACTGCTGTGAAGGAATATACAGGCAGTGCATTCCTCAGGCGGCACACACTTGACATTTTTTTCAGCGCTCGTGCAACAGGACCGTGGTTGTGTCGTGCTCACAGGGCGACGTCATCACGGATAAATCTCACAGATCTGAGCCTGAGGAATACATCACTGCGACCAAGCATTTTATAGAAAGCCGGAGCTGACATTCTTGCCCTTTCACATAAAAAGTGGGTTGCTTTATTTTTGTGTGTTATGTATGACCTGTTAACAAGTGGACATTCTTTTGCAATAAAATCAACTGAGTGGTATTTTTCTGCTGGCTTGTGACCTTTTTGTGATACATTTGTTTCATTTTGCATGTACGTTGTTTAAGTTTGTGGGAATGTGTACTTTTCAAAACTGGCAACACTGCTAATTAGTTTTTATGTGACTCTAATGGAATGACCAGTACTTAGATTTATAAATAAGAGTCGCAGACCATCAGGACTAAACTGTGTTATATAACAACTTGTTAACATTTATACCTGAAGGCTAAATGGCATACTGGAAATCAAGAATGACCTTTCATTAATGACTTCCTAACATGTGTAACTGCGGTGCTGATGAAGTCTTTAATAAAGGGTCACGACTTTCTCAGTTCATAACGGGAAGTCAGATCTGTTGTTATAAATGTTAATAAGTCATTAATAAAAGGTTACGGTGTCTGTTTATTAATTTACCACTTCATGGGACATTTAGTTCTTGTCAGATCTATTGGCGGTTCTGACTCAGTCATCAATAAAGACTTATTACATTAACGCAATTCTTAAAGACTGATCACAGCATGTGGATTTTACTGCAAACAGTCAAATTAACTGTAAACTCGGAAAGCTGTGCCTAATTAGAAAGCGGTGCCTTCAAATGTCTAACAGATAGATTCACTGCAATATTTTATCTGAGAGTAAGAAGATTGTAAGGTAGGTATAGATGTGAAGAGAGCAGGATGAGGTCCTGCTGTGCAGAGAGATTTTCTTCCAAAACAGAGCGCAGGCCAGAAAGTATATTTTTAAAGCCAGAAAGTTCAGTTAATCATAAAGTTATAAATATTGATCACAAAAGAGTTTCAGTCTCACGCAGATGTATTGTGATCATTTGTTGCCAAGTAGTAGAAACCAAGGTTCATGATCATTGTGATGTTACCCTATGTGTGTGTTTTCTCCAGGTATTCTACGAACAGCTGTGCCCGATATGGACAGGGAGACCCAGGACCAGTACCTGGTGGTGCTTCAGGCCAAAGACATGGGGGGGCACCTAGGAGGATTATCTGGGACCACCACTGTAACCGTCAGGCTTACAGATGTTAATGACAACCCACCACGCTTCACACAGAGTGAGTAACTCAGCAGCTTATACCGCTCCCAAATAAAATATAGAACAGGAATAGAGAGGCAGCAGTCTGGGGAAAATTACTGCTGCAGGGAGTGCATCGCATCCCACATACATGCACGATAACTGTACATACTGCCCACTGCTCACGAGAGCACACGCCGCGCAAGAACAGCGGAGCCATCAGCCAGTGTAAAATAACTGTGTGTACTTTTAACCATTTTGTTATGCCTGTGTAAATTTTCTAGCTTCCGATATAGGGGAGGGATGAAGAGAAAACAAACACTGCGCTGCATAACAGCATAAACACCATGTTTGTTTTGCACCAGAAGGCAGAAGAGTTGTCGGACCTTTCTGACCTGCAGGTCCTGTCAGGATTTTCACAGCAGCAGTCAGGCAGAGGAGATTCCTGCAGGGCTGCAAAGTACCTCATCAAACATTCAGCCATGGATTTAGCTTGCCTCTGCTATGATAGATCGGCTGCTATTTCCAACAGCAGCTACACTGTCAGATTATATCAGACAATCTGACAGCACGTCAATGTGGGAAACCCTAATTGGCTTCCTAATAACTTTGAATGTGGTTAATTGAATTACACTGTTTGCAATCATGACATAATTTTAGTAAAAATCATAGATGTGATAGGTCTTTCGTACTTGCTGTCTATGAAATATGTTTTTGATAAATGAAATCAAATTAGACTTTACTCTTGTGGATTAAACAAAATATAGACCAAATTAGCGGTTGGCATAATGGTGAAGATGATGTAATCAAGACGGGTTATTAGATATTATTGTCCTGTTGGCCATTATAATGTTAATCATTCTTCGAAATAGGAGGCAGATCTTCTTCTTCATGTACTAGACTGATGAATAAGAGGCTGGGATTAATTAATTCTCTTTTTTGGTATGTCACCAAAAGAATGGTAGGTGTGTTCTTTCATACCCTCGAAAGGACAAGCTAGTTAGGCCTCCTGTGAATGATCCAGAGAATCGTGCGGCCTTGGTCGCCAGGGTTCGCCTCGTACTTTACTTAAGGTCGTCCTTTTTGCCATTTCTCGTCTAAGCAGCTCCGCCGCCTCCAGTTTAATTGCTGACCTTCTTCCAATTAAAGTGACAAGGACACGAGTTGGGAAATCACTTTTGTATGACTGCTGTAGAGGAGCTGGTAGGAACCATACAGTACTATGCATAGTTTACTTCCAAGGACCTTGACTTTCTTACAATTTTTTAAAATGGTCTTGATCAGTAGCTCTTCAGCTTTCTGAGGATCTTTCAAAGTTTTTCTTTGGATATTTGCTGATTTCCACTCAGTCCAGTCCTTATACTGACCATTTACGGTTTATGTATTTATTTAATAATATGTGCTATCACTTAACGCTGAGATATGAATCATCAAAGCCTGAAAAAAGAAACGTTTTGTGTCTATACATCAAAGACAACTTATAAAAGAACCCATTTTAAATTGTATCTGTAGGATAGATGATGGATCTTTAGGCACTCTGTTACTCTTAGCCTCTAATAAAAGCATATAATGTGTAACAGTTTCTTCAGTTATATCTATAAAAATGTACCAAGAATCTATCATAGTTTGACACATATAAAGCAGTATTTTGGTAACAAGAACTATTAGCTGAATACTTGGCGTATCTCAGCATAGTGTGCATTATGTAAATAAAAAAATCAGAAGGAACTGCTCAAGTGGAGGACAAAAGAATCGATCTGAAACAGATCAACTGTATATGACAGTCATGTCCTTAAGAGGTATTAAAAAATTCAGCAAAGACCTGAAACAAGAACTGAGAGATGCATCTTGGCCTTCGGTTGATCCGTATTTCCCATTTTCTTAGCAATATATGGAGAAAAGAGGATCGCCTCAAGACTGTACAGTACTGTAAGTTACTTTACTGAAAGTGTTAATAAAATAGATAGATAGATAGATAGATAGATAGATAAAAATAACAGCATAAAGCATAGTATAGCAATTGCATTCTTACACATTTTTTCTTTTCATTAGAACTTTGAAAAAGTGATTGAGCTTTGGTGTGATCTGAAGGCTGTTGTAAAATAGGAGCGACTACAATTTGAAATTCTTTTCTATAAATGAAATTCAAGGCAATTTAAATGAGATTGTGTGTGACTGAACCGAGCATACTCAGACATTAAGTTTGAAAGATACAGCAATTGCTTGTTGTTCTCCCAGTTTTCATACAAGTCACTGAGTCAGAAACTTATAATTAAACAGATTTTATATCATTTCATTGTCAGAATAAGGAGTTTAGCTCACATGGTAGTGGGATTTTAATATTTCTTGGTAATATTTAGACATTTTATTTATCAATAACAGCTGTCGATATGTATGCTGATCATAACAGTGTGTTTAGATCTGAGTTACAATCTTAGTAGCAGTATAACTAGTTTGCATTTCTCTGTGCTGTGCTGAAAAAGTCACTGTTTTCTAAATCAAACAGCATGGGGTGAAAGTGCCGTAGTGCATCAGAAACCACAGGAGCTGTAGAGCATTTCCGATGCTCAAGCACAGGGAAGCTTTCAGCTAAAATATGATGGAAAACTGGAGATGCATGCATGACTCCATCACCGAATACGGTTATGCAGGTAAAGCCGACAGAACCGCTTCCATTTGACAGTGACATCATGTACCAATTCTTGGAATGAGGTCTAACACGGGAGCAAAGGAATACAGACTCAGGAGCTTGAGACTTGGTCTGTGCCATGACTGTGCTTTGAAAAATTCATGAGTTTCATTGTTTTTGTTGCCACATTGCCAAGGTTTTGGAGCTGTGAGAGCACCTCTTGTTAAATACAGAATTTAAATGAACTGCAGATCTGTTTCACTGATACTTTTATTCATCGATTTGGTTCATTTAACATAATTTGTTTTAAACGTAGCTTAAAATGTAATATTTTTGAAAGGCTTTTGTAGCTCAGCTTGCTACGTTAGCTTCAGTGTCATTTGAGGTAATATAGAATAACTGATGGCTTACTCATGTGCTTCCCAAGTAGCACGGTCTAAGCTGTGTAACAGCCTCTGTTATAGCACCACCTGGTCATCTTTTTTTAATGAGCAGTGAGTAAATCCACAATATGTTCTTAGTGAATGTAGAGCAGTGACACGCGCCTGTCCCTTTAGCCAGGTCTCCCTGCTGGAGTCTCAAATACTTCTCTTTTGTGACACCCATCAAATATCTCATCAAATATGAACACTTTAAAGTACTAGTGATGTGCGATACCACTGATTTCCTTTCCGATCCGATACCAAGTAAAATTCAGGGTGGTATCGACGATACTGATCCGATACCGATACTTTGTACGAAAACGTATTTCAGTTATTGTATCTCAAATTATAGCGTCATAATTCAATTCAATTCAATTTTATTTATATAGCGCCAAATCACAACAAAAGTCGCCTCAAGGCGCTTCATAGATACAGAGAAAAACCCAACAATCATATGACCCCCTATGAGCAAGCACTTTGGCGACAGTGGGAAGGAAAAACTCCCTTTTAACAGGAAGAAACCTCCGGCAGAACCAGGCTCAGGGAGGGGCGGCCATCTGCTGGGACCGGTTGGGGTGAGAGAAGGAAGACAGGATAAAAGACATGCTGTGGAAGAGAGACAGAGGTTAATAACAGATATGATTCAATGCAGAGAGGTCTGTTAACACATAGTGAGTGAGAAAGGTGACTGGAAAGGAAAAACTCAATGCATCATGGGAATCCCCCGGCAGCCTACATCTATTGCAGCATAACTAAGGGAGAATTCAGGGTCACCTGGTCCAGCCCTAACTATATGCTTTAGCAAAAAGGAAAGTTTTAAGCCTAATCTTAAAAGTAGAGATAGTGTCTGTCTCCCGAATCCAAACTGGAAGCTGGTTCCACAGAAGAGGGGCCTGAAAACTGAAGGCTCTCCCTCCTATTCTACTTTTAAATACTCTAGGAACAACAAGTATTTAAAAGTAGAATGGGAGGGAGAGCCTTCAGTTTATATAATTTGTATAATTATGAATAATTCGTATTCATAATGATTACAGGACATCGGATTACTTGTTCTTATCACTTAATAATGCACAGTTATCATATAGAAATAAGAAAACTGAAGTTGTGCGCAATTTGAACACGTTGCCTGCCTGCAGCACTAAAGGAGTCCATGAGAGACGTCTGTCTCGCCCTAGCAGCACCTGTCCCTCTCCTCCTCTTCAGTTCCCCTCAACATAAGCTCGTCATATTCTGTGATGTGATTTACTCTGAAGTGCTTCATGAGGTTAGTAGTGTTGCCACAACACCTCACTTTTTTGCCACATGTATTGCAGACTACGTCTCAACCGTTTGTGGAAGTAAAATACGTCCACACATGACTCCATTTACGCTCAGCCATTGTTGTGAGTGAGCACGCCAAGGGGCCGGACACATTTATACAGACGTACTTCACACATGACTATGACAGGCGGAAAACTAAGTAGTTTCTTCCAATGTAGACAATCCAAATGATATAGTTTATTTCCACTCTGTTAATGATAACCTACAAATTTACCCTAAATTACTAAAATATCGATATTTTAATATGAGTATCGATTCTAGAACATAAATGACTGGTATCGGAGGAACCGCACATCACTATAAAGTACTCCTTGGTCTCACATCCAAACCCATTTGGTAAATGCAATTTTTCAGTGTACAAAGACATGTTTTAACCCAAACAACGACCTGTGTCGAAGTTAATCAGTTAGTATTATGAAACCAAGGGCAAGCAGCAAGTTAAAACAATAGGAACAAACCGCAGCACTACTCCCACAACCTGTGCAACTGTTGGATCAGTCTACGTTCCACATGCATTACTTCCACAGGGTGGTGTGCTATTTGATAAAAGCTTTGCCAAAATTGGGGTAATGATGTACTGGAGTAGCAGATTTGCTAACTGAGCTGAACCTCCATCAAGGATGGTGTTTTGGACCTGAGGCCTGGAGGGCTTCTTGGAGGAAAGCTGGG